TTTCTGCACTGTCCTCTCTGAATTGTGCAGTTTCGTTGAGAATGATATGAGCAGCTCGTGTTCCTTGAAAGCAGCCCATAGGCGGTTAACCCGAAACAAAAATGTGTCAGAATAATAAATCAGGGCATTGTTGAAGTTGATACTGAGACAAACTTACGGGAAGTTTACAACAAATCATCAAATGCACACTAAAAGAACTTTTTTAAAATGCCTGCGTTGTTGTCAACATTCACAATATATCCATGTGGCCATGCTGAAATTAAAAGAAATTTATGAATTATTGTGATCAAGGGAGATTATTTAATCATGTCACAAAGTTCAAAAGACAAAACATTAAGAGTTGTTTCAGAGGCATAAAGTAAGTGAACATCTAAATAGATTAGTCAATTATAAGCCAGAACATCCAACAATAATCAACACAGCTATTTGATATGTAAACAAATATGATTGCTTGTTACTAGTGCACGATAAAACAATAATAGGCCACTATGTATATACAAGGTTCTGGTGTGTTTGAAGTGTAATAAAGGCTGATATATTTTGATAATAAATGATTATATTTGCATTACACTCTTTACGCATACTTCAATTACAAACGACACAAAAGCTTTATATTACTACAAGATGTTTATAACATGATGGAAACAAGTTGAGTTATCAGCTTCGTGTTACTGTTTATGTTGTGGTGATCTAGAGCCGATCCTTGGGGTGCTGATACCTTATTTCGGGATAGCCTTGATCCTTCTTCATATCCTCTGCAGTCACTTGGTCTTCTGTTGGCTAGCTACCCACACTAAGGCAATATGGTTGGAAAATACTTGTAAAATATCAATCAGCTTTGAAATTTTAGAAGCCCATTCTGGATCCCGTAATATTCTGTGTATGAGAAGTCCACGGGGTGTCCAAATGAGGAGGTCACAGCATGTCTTCCCCATGATGTACAGTTGGCTTTGGATCTGATGGTAGTATTGATGGTCATTTGACAAATTAATTCTCCCATCAGTCCTGACTGCAAAGCAAAAATCATTTCAATAAGTTACATGCCTTTTAAATAACTTCGATGTTATTTACTTTATTTTTTTTGCATGAAATTATGCATACTTTATATCAACTGGTAATAATACTGAGGTGTTTTTTGTTATTTAACAGTACCAAACAAACATTGAACTTCTTGTTAAATAGACACTTCACTTCTAGGTGGTGTGGCAAAATGCTTTTGACCAATTCCATCCGCCGAACGGTGGCTTATGTCTCTGGCAGAAAATAGACACTTCCCTTATACTTTGCTGTCATGGATTTCTTTAAGCAGACATTGTGGAATTGCATCAACTTGGTAAATACAATTTTTTCATGTTTTCTACTTCAAATGTAATGCATGCCGAAATTATTCTTCAATGATTCAATATATAATTGAAATGAATAAAATCAATTTACATATGCCTAACAAAATATGACGATGTCTCAAAATGTAATCAAAGTTTGATGAAGTAATGCAGTGTCAACAAAATTGTTGTCCTGTTATAGCTTTATGGTTTTCATTCGATTTCTTTCTCACACACACAATGGATAGATCCCGCATACAATGTATCAACCCCTTTCTTCGGCTCTGTTGAAAATGCAAAGATGTGATTTTTTGGACGTTCGTTTTCTACTCTGGTAAATATTGTAAATGTCAATGTTATCCCAAATTAATAATTGCAAATGAACGCCCTTTCAATTATCAAAACAAAACTCAGTTCTCACATTCCATAACTGTGGTCTTTGAAGGAAAAAACAACAACTATTAAGAAATCTTTTTCAATTCTAAAATGAAAATGATAATAAAAATAAAAATACAGAACAGGTAAAATTCATTCAAAATCATAAATATGATAAAATCAGAATAAAAGGAGAAACATCAAACAATAATATATAACACAACAGATTAATAACTAATAACCAGTTAATCTGCCAAGCTTTTCCAGTTGACCAGTTCACTACATAATTGGTCTTGATCTTCTTGAGTAACTTCTCTATTTAGTGCTCTATTTAGTGCTCTATTTAGATAAACATGATTATAACAGATACTATATTTCATTTACAAACAGGACATGACTTATCACTGAGGTAACTAAACACCATACTAGTCTATTGGATAAACTTGCAAGATTTGGACATAGCTGTAATGGTTTCCATTTGGAAATATGTTGGTTTTAGTTACCCGTATCATTTTTTGGAGGAAACAGGTCCTCCATAGTTGCAGTGTCGTCCTCCATCTTAGACTTTGGTTTCTTCAGCCAGCTGCACTTTACATCTGTCTTCCTTGCTTGTATTTACAAAGTAAAAGTCAAAATAACAACTCTCAGAAATAATCTAAATTGAATTTGTGTTGTTATGTCATTATGACAACTAAATTGTAATTGACATATAAATGCTTTAGTTAATATAAGTATACACCTTAGTTTAATAATGGTTCTGTCACTGTCAACTTGATATATAGGCTTCACAAGTAATATAACTGGTATTTTTACAGCACAAATTATGAAAATACTCCAGCATTTAGAAGAAATATTCTTGACAAATGAACACATACAACTTCAATCACTCACCCAAACAGAACAGAGGCGCCATGGAGGCAATAGAAATTACCCACTGGACAATCACGCCTGGTCACGTCCGTCCCATAGAGGTCATTTAGTTCAATCTGTAAGTAAACGATTCTTAGTTGGCTATTGTACTTACGAAAATATTGGTCCCTACAGACAGACACACGGAGAGTTATGCCTTCTTGGTTTGCAAAAACACTTTTACAACACATTTCATTCACAAAATGTTCGTATTTCGCGCCAAAAATGTAAAACTCCGACCTGCACTCGGTAGGATTTGTCCTTCATTGACACTTGAGTGAATGAGTTTAGTTTTACGCCGCACTCAGCAATATTCCAGCTATATGGCGGCGGTCTGTAAATAATCGAGTCTGGACCAGACAATCCCGTGATCAACAGCATGAGCATCGACCTGCGCAATTGGGAACCGATGACATGTGTCAACCAAGCCGGCGAGCCTGACCACCCGATCCCGTTAGCCCCCTGTTCCGACAAGCATGGGTTACTGAAGATTAATTCTAACCCGGACCTTCACGGGTCATTGGCGCTTGAACCTGGCCTTCTATGTGTCCAGGCTCTAGGTCATATAAAACTTAAGTACCCGGTCGCAACTTACAGAAAGCTCGAACTTACGAACCAATTTTGGCCAGTCTGAGGTGTAATTAACCCAGTATGTAGCATGACCAGAAATTATTGAGAATTTTAGGAATATGTTTAATTGGATTTCTAGTATAAACAACCTTGACCAGCTATCAATTGCTTGGTTTCATTCAAGAGAGACAACTCCGTTAATCCTTTTTCATAAGTTTGTGAAGAGTTATCCCCCTTTGTTTACCTGCTAGCAGACGACATTTTCAGTGATCCTCAGTATGGATGATTTAGAGAAGAGGAAGTTGATTTTAGAGTATTATAACAAGGACATCAGAACAGCTAAAGTGATTTCAAGTACAACAGGCATCCCTTTTTGTCCACTGTTTATCGTGTTTTGATAAATATTGCAAATGGATATGGCATTGAGCACCAGGGAGGCACAGGTAGGCCCAGAAAATTGACTGTCGGTGACAGGAGGCGACTTGGTATTCTAGTTTCTAAAAACAAACGAAGGAGTTTAGAAAACCTAAGGCTGGATATGATTGATAGAGGAACTGTGGCTGTCTGTAAGGAGACAATTAGAACTGAGCTGCATGCTATGGGTTGGCAGAAAAGTCGAGGAATTCCATCACCGATCATGAAACCTGAACAAAAGCGAAGGTTGAACTGGTGCTTACAGCATAGAAAGTTTAACTGGGACAACGTGATTTTCTCAGATGAAAGTTGTGTGTGGCTATTTCCTAATACACTGAAATTCTGGACCAAACAAACTGAAAAACTTTGTAGCAGCGCCCAAAGTACAGTCCGAAATTTAACGTGTGGGGTGGCATAGCTGTGTTAGGGGCAACGCCCCTCTGTGTATTTGAAGGGAATATGAACAGTGAGCGGTACACAGATATTCTCGAGGGACATTTACTTCCATCTGCTCACGTGTTCTATGGAAATGTTTGGATTTTCCAGCAGGACAACGACCCAAAACATCGTTCAAAACATTCACAGGACTGGTTTCGGACCCAAAATATGACATTATTAGATTGGCCAAGCTATAGCCCTGACCTAAATCCAATAGAAAATGTTTGGGGACTTATGAAGGAAAGTGTCAATAAGAAAACCTGACTAATATTGCTGAAATGAAAGAAGAGGTGGTCCGATATTGGGACAGCATGGACCACGACTTTATAACTTCTTTGATCAGTAGTATGCCCCGCCGCATTGAAGCCTGCATTGCTGCCAATGGTGACTTGACAAAATACTAACTGTTCACCTGTCTTTGAATCTGGAGTTATGCTCTGCTAATATTCACATTTAACACGTGAGTAATGAGTGCAAAAGATAAAATAATTTACAATCTTAAATTCTCAATAATTTCTAGTTGTACTGTTTAATGGAGAGCGCCATATTGCGGAAATCTTTGTCACCGGAAGTCACTAAATCTCGCGATGCGCCGGATTCACTTACACGCCCTATAGTAAGCACAGATCTCCGTGATGTAGGTTTTGTCCTGGAGGAATAATTGTGAATGCGACGTGACAAAACTTATAAACAAAAAAATCCAGGGATTTGACTTGGAGTCATAGAAAAGAGTCAAGCATCAGTTTCTCCTGACACACACTAGCACGCACTTGGCAATAATGACCTCAATAATGACACGATTATTATAGCATTACATTGTATGAAGGATACAAAGCTGAAAATCAGTTACGTGACATTTGTGTTGGTGTAGATTATCATTCACCAATTATACTTTAACATTTATGTTATACAGTTCATCGGATCCAATTGCGCGCATGAATAACGTAGCGTACATACTGGTGTTCTTTTTAGACCTGAATACATTGCCAGGCGGAGTTATCGGAGATGGAGAGAACAACATTTACAGAAGTGGAAAAGGAAGAGGCGGAAAGATGTTTTCAATTCCCGGTAGAAAAGGGTCTGGATAATGATGCCATTGTCAAGAGGTTCGACTGCGTAGCTGAGAAGTATGATAAGGTACAGTTGACATACATTTATACTATTCTAGCTCTGTGTAGCTCGTAGACAAGTACATGCTTGTCGTAAGAGGCGGCCATATAGCTGGAATGTTGCTGAGTGAGGCGTAAAGCTAAACTCACACGTAGAGAACAAGTCATGAAAGCCGAGAGTGTTTGGTACAAGTTCACACTGCAATGCTACATTGTCCATGAGTAGTTTGTAAAGGTGCTGCCTATGACCAAAGAAAGAATAGATATGACACAGGAGTAAATGAGTTGCGTTTAGCGCCGCTTTAAGAGTATTTAAGTACAGTCAGGTAAACACGGGAGGGACGCCCGAAGCAATGCAGGTCCTAGACGTGTACCACTTTGTTGGACCCAGGAGTAAGGGCAAAGATAATATTAGACAGTTTGTAGTGTTTATGTTTAGGTTAACGCTGTTTTGAATAGGAGTACAGTTATAACAGTTATAACAGTTATATCACGGCGCGTCATCGTAATGTGGGATGAAATTCAGAAATAAAGCAGATTTCAGACCTGTATCACTCTTGTGAAACCCACGGGTATGGTGCTGATGAACTTAGGAACATAATCGTGAAATCAGGATTGGACCCTACAACCAATGGTCACTGGCTTGCCTAGGGGATATATTGCTGCACATTAAAGTCACATAGAACGTGAGGACCAAAGAGGCGTTTTGTAATAAAACAGAGCACGTATATATACTGATCATCCATTCAATGAGAATGTGTGTTCTTAAAAATAGATTTTTTTAAGATACGGAGAATTATATACATCCCTCGTCATATATAATATACAACATTATTCAATTTGATTTTGCATATTCCAAAGTTTGTATGTATAATTGATAACGTAAACAAATTACATATTGGTTGGCACATTTATGTTTTCAGATGCAATCTACATATGGTTACAGCTTGCAGAAGTGGATGGCGTCTAGCTGCTCTATATACCCACAACCGAAAATCTGTCTCCATCTTGGATGTGGCTGCAGGGACGGGCTTGGTCTCTTGTGAGGTAAATTGTGACATCTGCTGTGGAAGGGAATACATTTACATACTGACCTATGTTGTGAAGGGAATGCATGAATTACTGACCTCTGATGAAGAAGGGAATACATACTGACCTCTGTTTTGAAGGGAATGCATGTATTACTTATCTAAGGGAATACGTGCTTTTACTGACCGCCGTAGTGAAGAGAATACATCTATTAACTGACCTCAGTTGTGAAGGGAGTAAATGTATTACTGACCTCTGTTGTAAAGGGAATACATGCATATACTGATATCTGTTGTGAAGGGAATACATGTACATACTGACCTCTGTTGTGAAGGGAATACATGTATTACTGACCTCTGTTGAGAAGGGAATACATGTATTTACTGATATCTGTTGTGAAAGGAATACATGCACATACTGACCTCTGTTGAGAAGGGAATACAGGCATATACTGACCTCCTTTGTGAAGGGAATACGTGCATATACTGACCTCTGTTCTGAAGGGAATACATGTATTTCTGACCTCTGTTGTGAAAGGAACACATGTATTTACTAATATCTGCTGTGAAGGGAATACATGTACATACTGACCTCTGTTGTGAAGGGAATACATGTACATACTGACCTCTGTTGTGAAGGGAATACATGTATTACTGATATCTGTTGTGAGGGGAATACATGTATTTACTGATATCTACTGTGAAGGGAATACATGTACATACTGACCTCTGTTGTGAAGGGAATACATGTATTTACTGATATCTGTTATGAAGGGAATACATGCATATACTGACCTCTTTTGTGAAGGGAATACATGTGCATATTGACCTCTGTTGTGAAGGGAATACATGTTTATACTGACCTCTGCTGTAGAAGCCTAGAAGGAAATACATCTACAAAATATATATATTTACCTCTGTTGTGAAGGGAATACATGTACATACTGACCTCTGTTGTGAAGGGAATACATGTACACACTGACCTCTGTTGTGAAGGGAATACATGTATTACTGACCTCTGTTGTGAAGGGAATAAATGTATTTACTAACATCTGTTGTGAAGGGAATACATGTATTACTGACCTCTGTTGTGAAGGGAATACATGTACATGCTGACCTCTGTTGTGAAGGGAATAAATGTATTTACTAACATCTGTTGCGAAGGGAATACATGTATTACTGACCTCTGTTGTAAAGGGAATACATGTTTATACTGACCTCTGCTGTAGAAGCCTAGAAGGAAATACATCTACAAAATATATATATTGACCTCTGTTGTGAAGGGAATACATGTACATACTGACCTCTGTTGTGAAGGGAATACATGTATTTACATAACACTGTTGTGAAGGGAATACATGTGTATACTGACCTGTGCTGTAGAAGACTAGAAGGGAATACATCTACAAAATATGTATATTGACAACTGTTGCGAAGGGAATACATGTATTTACATACCACTGTTGTGAAGGGAATACATGTGTATACTTACCTCTGCTGTAGAAGCCTAGAAGGGAATACATCTACAAATTATGTATATTGACAACTGTTGTGAAGGGAATACATGTATTTACTTACCACTGTTGTGAAGGGAATACATGTGTATACTTACCTCTGCTGTAGAAGCCTAGAAGGGAATACATCTACAATATATATATATTGACAACTGTTGTGAAGGGAATACATGTATTTACTTACCACTGTTGTGAAGGGAATACATGTATATACTGACCTCTGTTGTGAAGGGAATACATGTATATACAAATCTATTGACAACTGTTGCGAAGGGAATACACGTATTTACTTACCACTGTTGTGAAGGGAATACATGTAGATACTGACCTCTGTTGTGAAGGGAATACATGTATATACAAACCTCTGTTGCGAAGGGAATACATGTTTTTACTGACCTCTGTTGTGAAGGGAATACATGCATATACTGACCTCTGTTGTGAAGGAAATACATGTATTACTGACCTCTGTTGTGAAGGGAATACATGTATATACAAACCTCTCTTGAGAAGGGAATACATGTATTACTGACCTCCGTTGTGAAGGGAATACATGTATATACAAACCTCTGTTGTGAAGGGAATACATGTATATACTGACCTCTGTTGTGAAGGGAATGCATGCACATACTGACCTCTGTTGTGAAGGGAATACATGTGTATACTCTCCTCTGCCGTGAACAATGTATGTTACTCACGTTTTGAAGATGTCCAAAGTCATCCAACGTAGAAAGATTAAAACATCTCGGAACACAATGTGTGGGAAATCCATCAGGACCTTATGTCACGATGAACAGATAGAAACACGTCGTGCTTGACAAATGGTGTTAGGGTGTTTCGAAACAAGATCGTAACCTGTTGCCACAGATCACAGTAGTGTGGATTGCAGCAAGTGAAACCGTTATGCCATACTGACCTCTGTTGTGAAGGGAATACATGTACATACTTACCTCTGTTGTGAAGGGAATACATGTAGATACTGGCCTCTGTTGTGAAGGGAATACATGTATTACTGACCTCTGTTGTGAAGGAATAAATGTAGTTACTACCATCTGTTGTGAAGGGAATACATGTACATATTGACCACTGTTGTGAAGGAAATGCATGTACATACTGGCCTCTGTTGTGAAGGGAATACATGTACATACTGACCTCTGTTGTGAAGGGAATACATGTATTACTGACCTCTGTTGTGAAGGGAATAAATGTATTTACTAACATCTGTTGTGAAGGGAATACATGTATTACTAACATCTGTTGTGAAGGGAATACATGTATGTTGTCTCTGTTGTGAAGGGAACATGCTCTGTTGTGAAGGGAATACATGTTTTACTTACCTCTGTTGTGAAGGGAATACATGTATTACTAACATCTGTTGTGAAGGGAATACATGTATATGCTGACCTCTGTTGTGAGCGGAATAAATGTATTTAGCTAACATCTGTTGTGAGCGGAATAAATGTATTTAGTAACATCTGTTGTGAAGGGAATACATGTAAATACTGACATCTGTTGTGAGGGGAATACATATAAAAGCTGACCTCTGTTGTGAAGGGAATACATGTACTACTTATCTCTGATGTAGAAGGGAATACATGTACATAATGACCACTGTTGTGAAGGGAATACATGTGTATACTGACCTCTGTTGTGAAAGGGAACAATGTATACTACTCTTTTCTGTCGTCTAGGAGGCCATATCCTGATGATTCATTACGATTACATCTTCTAAAGGGATGTCCTCCGTGCGAACCTCACCAGTCTGGAGGACAGAGGACTGTGGAAACTAGAGGACAAGCAAATTAAGCCCAACACCGCCCACGGGTTTACTGGTCATTTGCACGTTTATAAAGTTTTGTAGACCAACACCAACACTCAATTCTTTCACGAGTGACCTGCGTCTGTTAAATGGTGTTTAGTTCAGGCAGGGTAATGACAAGTGACGTGTGAATTTGGACTTCAACCCAACAACATTTCAAACATTGTACTGGTTAAACCCAAGTCTCCCTGAAACGATTGGTTTTACATCAAATTCCTCACCCACAGATAACGTTTAACTGGCAGGAATGGGCAATGGTAATATACAATAGTGTAATTTTTGTAGTTCCTCAAAACCTCTCTAAAATCAGCTTTTTGTGACACATTTCGACTTACCAAAGTATTCAGTGTCATTTGTGAGTCTGAATCATGATCTCGTTGAAATGAACAAACTTCATTTCTAATTGATATTAACACACCCGTGAACTTTATTATTGTTTGTAAAGATTTACCTCAGTTGTCAAATTAAACATATACCCAATTGCTCTAACCATACCTTGTCATGTGTTTTGAGCTACATTAATAGTATTGTAGACTTTCAGAACCTAGTTTGCAATAGACATACAGCACGTGTTGTATATTAACACGTATTCGGCCTTGTCAGTAAGATGATTGCGGCTAGCGTTGCATATTGATGTTGGTGTCAGTGGGCAATTTTGAATAAAAACTTATATTTTTCTGCTTGAGTATGTTATTTGTTAGTGCTGTCTGCTACCCAGTGACAACAACAAAGGTAAACTATGTAAACAACAAACAGTTTAACATGGACAGTCCACAGCGTATACTCAAAGCCTATATTGTCTCTTTCATTATCCCTCTCAAACTCAAGCACGGGGCATGGTAATAACAAGTACCGTGTTTTAACGTTTTATAACGCTGCCGTTGACAGAACCATCAACAAGTTCATATGTGGACAGATGCTTAATCGACAGAGTGGTCATATCTGTATTAACAGGCGCGTGTGTGTGGAACAAACATTAAAATGTATGCGGATCTTGCGCGTCAGCCTCACTTTCGGTAACGTTTCAAATTAATTGAATTATATATTAGGATCTGACGGGATTAGGATTGTAATTCATGTTCAGCCAGATCCAATGAGTCTTACGGTTGGTATTACTAATGTCCCCTCCTATTCTGTCTGTACTCTAAACCGTTGTGTTTTGGATAACGGAAACAATAAGCTTTGAGGAAAAGACATTTTTTTGCCCCATTTGCATTTTTGTCCCAAAGGCAAATATGTTTAAATAACCGTATTAATTACCTGAATCAAGTTAAAATGAACTTATTATGATATTTATTATGCACACATAGAGATTGCTGTGAGGTGGGTGCGGTCAATACTCTGTGCCAAACGGATTGTGGTGAAATAGGTATGCACAATAATGTGTTGCTTCACAACTTGAGAAAAATCGTTTTTTGACAAACAGAATGAATAGTCTTTGGAGCGTTGCAATTTTCGCGCTATAGCGATACCGCTGTCTCGCTATATCGCTATATCAGTGCCTGTCTCACGCCCCAGTGGTCTCCAGTGGAATGTGTTTGGAGGCAAACAACCCTTTACGATCCATAAGGTTTAGGGTGGGGCTTAGGGTTTATGGTTAACCGTTGAGGTTAGAGTTAGGGTTAGGATGCAGGGTTCAGGGTTTGAGGTAGGGACAGGGGTAGGGACAGGGGTAGGCCTTAGCTTAGG